AAACCTGCACCCGCGCCAGGCCGGCCTGCCAGGAGGGGAGTGAGAGGCCCACACTCAGCTCTCTACATTCTTGTTCTCAGACAGCATGACTTTATTACTGGAAACCGGCTAAAAAAAATTATGATCAGTAGGAGAAAACAGAAAACGGTCTGGGTAAAAAAAACAATATTCAGAAATCAGCAGCCTTCATAAACCAAAGTAGATGATTAGAAGCTATAACCGAAGACGAGCCCCATTCCTAACAGCAAACAACAACGGTGAAGGACGAGCTTAGAAATAAGCGCGCGCTACCTACATGAAGAAAAGTCTTCACGTTTGGAAAAGACGCAGGGGTCACCTTCTCTGATACAGAAAGGGTGCTGACAAACACAAATTTGAAAATGCCGACGTCCCAATAGGCAGGCAGGCAGGGCTCTGGAGGGTGTTTACAGAAAAGGGACGATGCCTACTTTTCAAAGCAAGCTCACTAACCCCCAAACTCCAGTTCTCCTCCCTCATCGACCAACATCCCTTCACGACGACACCCAATAACAGCGGCGCTTTAGGTTTCTGGGTCTCCCGGGGTCCCCGACCTGGAGCCTGCTCCCCCACCCCCAGCCCTGCCCCGCACCGGGTGCTTCATGGCCACCGGCCTGACTGAACTGCTCTGCCCTGCCCCTTGGCAGACGGCTACCCCTCGGGCCCAGGCAGCACGGACTCCACCTAGGGGAACAGGCCTGGGACGGGGCTGGGGACTGGGAGGTGGCCCCACGGACCCCTCGCCCATGCGGGCTCAGCATGGCCAGCAGAGGCCAGCGTGAGGCCATACAGAAGGCAGGGCCGGGGGCACCTCCTGCCAGGGTCCAAGGAAGGCGCTGCCTTCGCCAAGCACCGCCACAGCCACGTGGACAGCTCTCTACCCGGCCGCTGGCCACCTGGGGGCATTCTGCTTACCATAGGGCAGACATCGGCTAAGCGGGTTTCCTTAGCTTCTGCCCGAACAATATCAAAGGCTGTAATTACGACCCTATTGGCCAAAATTATAAAGGACAAAACGTTATATGATTTTTTTGTATCCAGGAGTCGTCAAAATGGTGTGGAGCATCGGGCTTACATCACATCTCATCTTAGCCCTCAGGGAGCTGATGGCATGCGTGTGTACAGTGTGCGCATGTGTGCGTGTGTACAGTGTGCACATGTGAGCACGTGTGAGCATGTGTGTGCAGCGGGCCAACACAGTTCGTCTACCTGGAGCGGCCACAGGAAGTATCGAAAATCTCCGCTGACTCCTGCTTTCGAGTACATCTCGGCCGTGCCTCCTGTGGTCAGGGACAGGAGGGCCAATTTACCCTGCAGGGGAGAAAGCAAAGGCGTCCGTGCGGGCTCCGGAACGGGATGGAGATGCTATCGTGACTCCAGCACGAAGGCTTCTCATGGCCAGCAGGGAAAACGTGAGGTCAGTGTCCTCTGGGGATGGACAAATGGAACACTCCCACCTCCAGCAAGCCCGCCCTCAGGTGACAGCCGCGCCCCAGGAGGGTGCGACAGACAATCGGAGCCAACCGACCAAACGAACGTGACAGCTCTAACACGCCCGGGCTTCTGGCAGAAAGCAGGTCTCAGTGATGCCATGTGCGAGGAACAGAACTGGGGAGAGGCCAGCAGTGCCTGGCACCCGGGGCCACTCGGGAGGCGTCATTCGTGGTCCTAGACAGACAGATCTTTGTTTCTTGGTCTGTTTCCCTTATGTGCACCTATTTTCTGAGGCTTTTAGAATTAAAAAAACACATTTCTTTTAGTAAGACGTTCACGGCCACAGGTGGGTGCATCTAGCAGGTTCCATGACCCCTCGCCCTGCAGAGGGACGTCATGTTATCCTGTCTCACAGGGCGGCACGTGGAGCTCAGGGCGTGAGCTTGTGTGAGGTCAGGGCTGGCTTTTGCCACAGGAGACACCCTCTCTGGGACCGGTGGCGGCCGCCGTGTGGCCCACGTCAAGTTGCTTACTGACACCCTCGCCCAACCCCCCGCCCAGCCCCTTCTCTGCCGTGTATCTGCAGCTCTCACTAGATGAAAACACCATGATTTTAGGAATGACGCTTTGCTCCTCCGTGTGCATCACATGGTACTTTGCACATGGTAGGTGCTCAATCGATTTTTGCATAAAAAATAAAAGGAAACTAGATGTTCAGCTTGACAGACGCCCCTCTTCCCCCACTCCAATAGCCTGCAGCCATCCCGATCCCAGAGCACATACCTTGAGCAAACCGGCATCGTAGAACTCAGGGATGTCGAAGGCAAAGCCCTGGCAGAGCACCCTGTCCATCCAGCCCTTGAGCACGGCCGGCACGCTGAACCAGTACAGCGGGAACTGCGGGAGGGACGCGGGGAAACCCACGCTGCGGCTGGCCCCATGGCCTCGTACTTAGTCTGTCTGCTGACTCAGAACGAATCCCGCTGTTCTCGTCCTGGGCAGCTGGGCAGGGGATGGTAACCCACATGCTCAGTCTGACCCACATGCTCAGGTGCAGTGTGGATGGGGGTGGGGTGGGATTGACAGTGGTCCTGGTCACGCTGGGGTGGGTCTGAACCCCCCACAACAGCCCCTGATGCTGGTCCCCGGGCAGGCAGGGAGCGGGTGAGGAGCTCTGTGCGACACGACACTGGCTTTGGGGCAGCAGTCTCTGTGACCGAGACAACCAAGAGGAAGGGTGTGGAAACGAGTGTGCCCCTTCCCCTGCCTGGGGTGAACGGGGGTGAGGTGTGAGCATCTGGGGGGCAGACTGAGTCCGGCGCTGAGCAGCTGCGGTTTTCACGCAAACCAAAGCCTTATGCTCAGGCTCCACACACCCCAAGTCACCCGGATCCCACAGAACCCCTAACATCACATCCAGTGGTACCGTCTAGGAAGGGAAATAAACACAGGCAAGCAATAGTTACCAACAGCGGAAGCCCACGTTTCATGTGCTTTCAACATAAATCAAACTCAGGGCCTGGCAATGAAATCCAAGCTCCACAACCTACTGCTGTGTGATGTTGGCCCGTTACTTGAGCGCTCTGTGCCTCCTTTTCCCCATTTGTCAAACAGGGATACTAACAGTTCGTAGCTCACAGCACTGTGGTGAGGATTCAAGGACACGACAGTGCCTGGAACAGAATGCCCAGAGCGTAAATGCTCAGTGAGTGGTGGGCTCTGCTAGTAGCAGTAGCAGTGATGAATGAAATTTTTACTAGCGTTGAATGAAAAAAATAAACTTACAATGCAAAATCTCTGGACAAAGTATCAAAAAAAGAGGGAAGGCAAGGGGAGAAGAGACATAAAATGAGGTGGAACAAAAGAAAGACCATTAGAGAAGTCAAGTGTTGGCTTACCCCAGCCACCCAGTTATGGAGTGCAGCAGGCAGGGGAGGGAGAAGTGGGCCCTGCGTGGCTGGCCAACATCAGGGGGACAGGAGGAGCCCAGTGAGAGAGCTGACCCAGCTCTGCGGGGACCATGTGGCTCAGCACACAGGCCCACCATCCCGGCGTGACTATTAAGGTGTGCAAGATAAACCGTATGGTCACTCAGTTCTAAGGCACTGTGGGTCTACCAGTGTGTGTTAGGATGAAAGAACATCCTGCACTTGGGCCAGATTAGTGGCTCAACGTGGCTTGGTAAAGAGAGGGCTGGTGTCAGGAAGGGGTGCACAGAGGCAAACCTGGGCAGGGGTGAAGCATCTCTTCTGCACACACGGGTTGCTTTTCTGAAGGGTTTGGGAACCATGACAACCTCTGCCTTGCACACACATGAGGGGCTCTGCACCCGCCATAAGGACAGTGGTCTTCTCCCACCCACTCCCTGCCCTCAAGCAGGGCTGGGAACAGAGGCAATCTGGACACATCAGATCCCTTGCTTCGAAACTCTGGATCTAGGAAACCCAGTCCCTGGCTGCAGCAGAGAGAGAACCAGGTTGCAGGGAGAAGCAGATGGGAATGTGAGGAGGAGACCAGAGGTGCTCCTGCCTCAGGGCCATTATCCCCAAATCCTAGCCACAGCTCTGTCCTTGGGGTCCAGGAGACCCAAGAGACCAGAGCCCTTAGATAAACTCCCCTTTCTTTCTAGCTCGACTTGGATTTCCGTCAACCCGATTCCCTCAAAGCGCACTTGTTTACATGGCTGCCAGGCTTATGGTCACATCCATGACTGCACGCATCCTCCTCTGGGTGACAAGAAGTGCCTTAATGAGTCAGCGTTCCTAGACGCTGTTTTGTGGGGCAGTTCTCTCCTCCTTGTGAACAAATACATGGAGGGTGGCAGGTGTTCAGGAAAGTGAATCAACCAGTGAGAGGATGGAAACCAAAGACTTTCCTCTTAATGATCAAGATATTTAAGGCAAGAGTTGCATTTGGCTGGAATGACCCTGCTACACACTTGTGTAGGGAAATCGCCATGTCTGGGGGTGGGGACTTCAGGAGAATGGAAGCAACAGGTCAGGTGGGATCCAGACACGTTTTGGACCACTGGGCTAATGGATAAATCCTTCATTTCTATTTACCTGGGGTCAGGATTTCAAGTGAGTGATGCTGGCTACGTAGATCTCTTTACCCAACTAGGTACACTGCTGAACTAGTGTTGTAAGTAGGTAAACTGTTACAACTGGGTTATAACACCCAAGTGTGCAAATGTGCAAAGAACATGGATACCACTTCTAGGAGGAGCCCCACACTCAATATTTGGAAAGTGTGTACATAGGATGACTCTGATTTGCTATACTAATTAGTGGAAAAACGAACCTGAAATATCACTAGATCAGCTTCCTGAACCTTCTTCTGCTCCTCAGTGATGTCGCTGGCCAGACATCTCTTCTTGTAGGCTTCATAGACTTCCACCCCGTAATTGAACAGCTCAGGATTGGAGAGAGCACCTGGGGAGGAAGAGGCCAAACATTCTCACTGGCAGGTGTGTGTCTGCAGCCCGTCCCCGCCATCCCACTAGCGCTGTGTGTACCTGGCCTCCTCCAAGTGTGTCGGACACTCCTTCAACCCAACCAGGAGCTGCACCCTGGGGCCAGGCTAGGGAAAGAGAAGGAGGCTGGGAGGGCCACAGATTGAGCGCGTCCTACCTAGCAGGTGCAGTTCCTTTCTTATCATAACAACCAGTGAGATCGGTGCAGTTCCCAATCCACCAAACAAAACCGAGGCTTAAGAAAAGTTAGGCGGCTTGTCCAATGCCACATGGGTTCTAAATGGCAGAGGTGGGTGCAGAGGTGGGATGACCTGAGGCCCAGGTGTGGCCCAGGTGTGACCCACTAAGCCACACCAGTGTGTCTAGGGAGGAGGGTGCAAAGCCGAAGCCACTTTGAGAAGAGCCAAAATGAGAACTGGGCCAGCAGTCCTTCAATAAAGTCATAATTAAAAACCATTTCAGTGTTCTTTGCATCCTCTTTTAACCTACTTGTATTTGATTTTTATTCAAAAAGTATACATTGAGTTCTTCTATGTATAAAATCCTGTCTTCATGGGGAAGCCTAAGAGGGTAACCACAGTTGGCAAGAGGCTGTGTTGTATCAGGGAGGTTGTCACGTGGAGTTTCGACGGCAACATTACGTACAACCCAGCACCCCTTTGGGCTTTTCCCTCCTGTAGCTATAGAGTTTCAAAATACCACATGGATATGTACTTTTGCACCAAAAGGTTAAGCTCGCTTGCCTCTGGGTGTGGTCCAGGAATGGAGGAGCTGTGAACAGGGGCTTCTACTTCGTACCCTGTGTTCACCTATATTCAAAAATATTTTTTACCTCAAGCTTGTGTTATTAACTTAAAACTAGTGGCTCCATATCCCAGTGTTCTCATTTTCTAGCCCCTGCTCGGCTGTTCATTAACAGAAAATAGTTGATGGATCTATTAAAAGGGAAGAAAGAAAGTAAAGACCAAAAAAAAAAAGACAAGATGTCAGCTATTGACATGAGTCCTGAAATTGTATCTGGAGGTCTAGTTAACACAGTTACGAACAGAAGGAAATTAGAGGTATTGAATACTGAAAAAGAGGAGATGAAATTATCAATATTGGCAGACTATTTGATTTCATACCTGGAAAGCCCTAGACAATCAGGTGGAAAGTGTTACAAACAGTAAGAACCCGTGCGGCGGCTAGACACACACACAGGCACACGCAGAGAATGGTCCCCTCCATGTGGGAAACGACGACCAGCTAAGAAGAATTGTGAAAGATCTGTATGAAGAAAATGTCTAAACAGAACTGAGGGGGTCAAAAAAGACCTGAACAGCTGAAAAGCCGTATCATTTTCTTAAAAGAATCAGCATCATAAAAGGTCAATTCTTCCTAATCTCATTTATAAATTTAATAGGATTTCAGCAAAAATACCATTGGGTTTCTTTTTGAATCTGAAAAGCTAATTCAAAAGATTTTATGGAAAAATTAAATAAAAATAGAAAATAAGGGAAGTGAGGGTGACCTCTACCAGATATTAAATTAAATGATTTGGCAAAATAATTAAAGCCATGTGGTATGAGCCATGAGTAGGTAAGGGGAAAAAACAGAACAGAAAGAAGGGAATAGAATCAAATATGTGGGAATTTAGGTTGCAATGAAGGTGTCATTTTAAATTAGGGGCAAATGGCTAAATCACGCAATAAATGGTAATGAGATAACTGAGTAGACACTTAGAAAAAACTGGACCCATACCTCACATCATACACCAAAATAAATTTGAAGTAGATGAAATATTTAAACGTAAAAAGTAGAACTTGATCAAATACTAGGAGAAACTATGAAACTTTTAAAAATATATTCTTAGAGTTTATAGAAATACGACATAGAATCCAAAGATCATAGGAAAAAAACATGGATCAAAGGTCAACAAAGTCGATAAAACCCTACATGGAAAAAAAAACCCATAATAAATAAAATCAAAATTTTTTAAAAAACAAGCAAATTAGGCAAAAAGTATTTGCAATTCATATCCCACACAATAGGCTAATTTTTTAATATATAAAGAGCTCTTTAAAATCAATCAGAAAAAGACCAATGGTCTAACAGAAAAGTGAATAAGAGATAAAAACAGATATTTCACAGGAAAGAAAATATTTAATGTTATTAAAATATTAATAAATATAATATAAAATACTGCAATACTAAACTTCACTTATAATGAGACAAGAACAAATGAGAGCTATACCGGAGACCATTTTTCACTTGTCAGACCAGCAACTGGTAAAAAGGTGGTAACGCTGTTCGTGACGTGAGGCAATGAGCATGTGCAGACGTTGCTGGTGGGAGTGTAACTGGTACAACATTCATGGAAAGCAACTTCATACTACCTACGGAAATTAAAAACACACATTCCCTTTGACCAGCAATTCCACTTACTAGATGTACTTGCATACAAAGGAAAACACATACGGCCATGATTATCTACGGCAGCCTTGTTTGTATCAGCAAAAGATCAGAAACAACTTAAAACACACTTTAGTAGGGGCTACTCAAACTATGACAAGACAGCCATACAAGGGAAGACTTTGCAGTGGTAAAAAGGAAAGCACTGTGAAAAACTGAGTATAACATGCTACCACTTTTGTAAAAAGCAGAGGGAAAACGGAGAACCCCCTGATTTTCCAATTTGTTGGCATACAGTTGGTTCAGAATAGTCTCCAACGATTCTTTGTATTTTCCTGGTCCCAGTTGTTATGTCTCCTTTTTCCTGTATGATTTTTTTCTCTCTTTTTTTGTTAGTCTTGCTAAAGGTTTGTCAATTTTGTTTATCTTTTCAAAAACCAACTTTTAATTTCATTGATTTTGATTCATTCTGCTGTTGAGAGCCTCTAATGAATTTTTCAGTTCATTAAAGGTATTTCTCAGTTCTAAGATTTGTTTGGTGTTTTTTATTATTTCACTCTCTGTTAAATTTTTCTGACCATTTCTAAATTGTTTTTCTGTATTACCTTGGAAATTACCTTTAAGAGTTTCCTTAAAACTACTCTTTTGGACTTTTGGTCAGAGTATTGCCTTCTTGTTAGGGTCAGTCACTGGTTGTGTTGCTTTGTGTTTGGGAAGGTCATGGATCCCTATTTGCTATTGTTTTTGTGGATGTGTGGCCATGTCTTTGCATTGAAGGATTATTTATTTATTTCAGTCTTCTCTGTCTGGCTTATTTTGGTTTTTATTGGACGTGTTTGCTAGATATTCTTTGCCATTTACCTATTGCATTTCTTTTCTTCTTTCTTCTTTTCCCCCCACTAGGTTGCTGCTTCCTTTTCAGCACTAGATGGTACCTTAAGCCCAACTTTGCCTCAGCTCTAGTAAATGACCTAAGCGTTGCCTGTCCCAAATGGGCTATCCTGGAGTGTGGGAAGGCTGGTTAGGGGTTCCTGCCCAAGGGACCTATGGAATGAACCTCCTCCAGCATGGTGCTGCTGAACAACCACTCTGATTTGGCATCTCCTTTGGCCAAGGTACAGAGCACAGTTCCCAGGGTTGGGCATGGCAGTCCTGCCTCCTCACTTGTTTCTGGCTGTTCTCAGGAATAATTCTCCCTTCAGGTACTCCCAGTGCTTCCTGTGGGGTGAGGCGGGGACAGATCTCCTGCGAGGGAACCCAAGATAACGGGGAAGCTGGTTGTCCACCTAGATCTCACACTTTCCAATGTGAAACCGTGAGTCGGGGGGAAAATTTCCACATGCTTGGTGCTGGGCGTATTGGGAAGGGGGTGTCGCAGATACGAAAGTCCAGTTCTCTTACCATCTGCTTGGAGTTTTTTCACTTCTCTGTGGCCCTGGGAGCTATCTCCTCCTCATATTTGAGTTCTGGGATATTGCTGGTGATAATCTCGGTGCTACGTTTTTTTTGTTTGTTTTTTGGCTTTCTGTGGGGGTGAGGGGAGTGAAACCAGCTTGCTTCTAGCTGCCCTTTTGGAATCAGAAGTCAACATGTTTTTAATTAAAAAGCACAAAGAATTAAGTTAAAAAAAAAATAATAGAGAGTTGACCCCATGACTCACCAGTGATGTCTTTCCTTGTGGCCCTCGGCTCAAAGTCCATGGCGTACAGGTCAGACACAGTGACTGTGCAGCCCTGCTTGCGCAACTCATCCACCGCCACGTTCTTCAACGCGCCGTTGAAAGACCGGGGCTCTTGGTGCGCATAGACAATGAGCACTTTCTTGCCTACATGAACAGAAGAAACGGTTCCCCTTGAAGAGCAACTTCTCTATGTCAAAATTCAAAGAAGACTAAGATGAAAACTAAATGTTCCAGTGCATTATGGTGGTTGAAGCAAAGAAATGCCAATGAGTGGCAGTTTTAAAGCAATGGACTTTTTTTATCCAGTTATATCCCAGCTCATCATTACTTGGGTTTACTAATGCATGAAAATACAACGGACCAAATTATGTCTCCTCAAAAATACCACCACTAAATTCTTCAAAAGACTGATCTAATTTGTTTATCCCCTGTGAAAAGGTTTAGGCCTGCGCCCTGATGTCAAAATTAAACAGCTGCTGGAACTCATCTTCTATGCAACCCTGCATGGGCAGGCAGCAGCTACCAGCACCTTTCGGTCTGGCCCAGTCTGCTTCCACCTCCTCATGTCCACCAAAATCTGATGCTTAAACAAAGCATGAAGAATGGAAACCCTTGCTCCCACGGGAAGGCAGGGCACTGCGAGTCCGTCTTTCAGGGTTGAGGCTGATGACAAAGTGCAGGCAGCAGCCGCATCATCAGCACCGGGAGCCTCGGAAGCAGTGTTTTCCTCATTCAGAAGAGTCTGTGAGATTATGTACTGATTTCCTCCTGGAGGCAGCTTGGTGATTTGCCTAATTAAATTTACCCTGGTAACATATAAGAGGATGTTAAACTCTTGACTTAAAATTTTCAGCCTAGGACCTTAAAGAGAAAATACACGTGTTTGAAACAAACAGTCTCAGGGCATTCAGCTGAGTGTAAAGGTTGAATTCCATGAGTTAGATTAATAGTTAACATTTTTATTTTGCTTTCTCAGACTCCTGTGTTATAAAGGAACTCTACTTGGGGGCTTAACAGGAAAATGGATACAAATGAAATACCCACACCAAGGTTTTTCAACTGGGGACAGTGTTGCCTGTCAGGGGACATTTCTTAACAACTGAGACATTTTTGGTTGTCACAACTGGTGTGGGAGGAGTGCTACTAGCATCTGACAGGTAGAGGCCAGGGCCACTGCTAAACATCTCACGGTGCGCAGGCCTGACCCACGACGAAGGATTATCTGGCCCACGATGTCAGCAGTGCCAAGGTTAAAAATCCTAATCCACCCTATAACGTATAGAACAAGGTGAATCTGTGTGTTCTATAATGAAAGGATTTCTATGTTATATTGTTGAATGAAAAAAATGAAGTTGAAAAATTGTGTGTGTGTGTGTATACATGTGTGTGCGTGTGCATGTGTGTGTGCATGTGTACATTATAAGCAATCACAAGAGTAAAGATGGAACCATACCAAGTTTTTGACCAAGGTACCTCCTGGGGGTCATTCAGTCAACAACTGCTTTGGGGCAGCATGTCCCAGGGGTGATTTCGGGGACAGGAGACAGAGGAAAGACAGGACAGGAAGGCCCCACTGCTGAGGAACTTACATTCTGGTGGGGGAGAAATGGACCAAACGAGTGAGAGGAATTCCAGACAGTGGTCCATGTACTAAAACAGGTTTGTACACTTCCATGTTGCTTGGATTTTTTTATGACAAACAATGTGTTCAATTTCTCACGAAACGTCTGCGCCCCCCATGACCACTGGTTACCTGCCATGCTGTAGTACGACGGATCCTTCCTCTCTGAGCGGGTGGCCCGCGCTTCAGCTGCGGTCACTCTCCTCCGAGAGCCCGACAATCTGGAGGAGAAAAGGAACCAGGGGAGGTGGCTGTGCCTTGGCCCGGCCTCACTGCAGGTCCCTGGAGGACATGCAAATGCATCAGAGAAAAGGCATCTCAAGATAGGCAAGGAATGCTCTGGAGATTCAGGCCTCAGAGCACAAACCATGTAGGGTGTCAAAACCACTCCTTTACTTATTTATTTTTTTTGAGGGAACTCAGAACCTTCTGTGAAGGCAGCCATGGAGAAGAGGACCTGGGAAATAAGCCAGGTAGGTAGCAGGAGTTGTACGTCCTTGGCCTTCCTGCCTCCCTTAAGTGTCCCCTTCAGATGACAAATGGAGCTGAGCAGAGTGGTGCGAGCCGCCACCCCGCAACTCGCTGCCCGGACGCCTCGCTGTGCTGGGGAGATGAGCGGATGGCAGTGGGTGTCGCCAGGCCTCTTCCTCACCTGAAATAAGGGGAGTTGGTTTCGACCTGGTTTCCAGCCGGAGGTGTCAGAAGCTCCTCCAGGCAGGCAGCGTAGGCCAGTGGAGACCTCCTCGTCAGAGGGACTTGGTCTGGGCTCCAGCTCTGCCACTTGTAAGTGTGGGCCTGCAGCACAGGGCCTCCGCCTCTCTGTGCCTCAGCCCCCTCCTCCGCAAAGTCACTGCATGGCCCAGAAGATTAAAGGAGACGGTCCATGTGTGGTGGCTGGCACACAACAGGGCTCTGGGAAAATGTTAGTTTTCCCTTGGGGGCCTCAAAGGTTGTGTCCTCAACCCCCAGTAGCCATCTCTGAAATAACTGGCTTCCTTTTGAGAGAGACAAGATATTTCCAACAAACCTATTCTTGTTGCCGAAAAACCAGCTCAAATAAAACTCAATGCCAAAAACCAAACAACTCAATTTTAAAAAGGGCAAAGGAACTGAATAGACATTTCTCCAAAGAAGATATGCGAATGACCAACAAGCGCGTTAAAAGATGGTTGACATCACTGCTCATTACAGAAATGCAAATCAAAACTACAGTGAGATACCACCGTACACCCGTTAGAATGGTCGTTCTGAAAAAAACCAGAAAATAACAAGTGTTGATGAGAATGTGGAGAACTGGAACCCTGTGCACAGCTGGGGAAAATGTGAACTGGTGCATCCACTGTAAAAAACAGTACGGAGGTGCCTCAAAAAATTAAAATGAGAGTTACCCACAATCCAGCAATTCCACTTCTAAGTACGACCTCGAAAGAGAGTCCCAGAGAACCGTGTGTTCACTCACGTTCAAAGCAGCATTATTCACAACAGCTAAAATGTGAAGCAATGCAAGTCCATCACTAGACGAATGGATAAGCAAAATGTGGCCCATCCACACAATGGAATATTATTCCTCCTTAAAAAGGAAGGAAATTCTGACACACAGTACAACACGGATGCGCCTTGAGGACATCTCGCTCAGCGAAATAAGCCAGACGCAGAAAGATAAATACTGTGTGACTCCACGTACATGAGGTTCCTAGAGGAGTCAAATTCATAGAAACACAAAGTAGAAGGAGGGTTTCCAGGGCCTGGGGGTGCGTGTGGGTGGAGTGAAAAGTTAGTGTTTAATGGATATAAAGTTTCAGTTTAGCAAGATGAAAACAGCTATGGAGATGGATGGTGGTGACGGCTGCACAACATCATGAATGTACTTAATGCCCCTAAACTACAAACTTAAAAATGGTTAAGATGGTAAAATTTTATGTTAGGTATATTTAACCACAATAAAAAAAACTGGGGAAAAACCCAAACGACTCAGGGCATGTGGCTGGGGCTAGTGTGAAGACACTGCATGCTGCACGTGGTGTCCAAAGGACAAGTTTACCACACCAGTGCATCTTTACGGGGTAACAAAAAGAACAGAGAAATGCAGAAGTTGAGCTTATCCCCACTGCAGCTGAAATCTGGAGCGGAGCCTACGTTTGCATCTGCAGGGCCCCTCCCTACCTCCAGCTGTCCAGAAGCGCTGTGCAGGGCTGGGTCGGCAGAGCACTGCCAAGCAGCGAGGGGTGCAGAGCAGCGGGATCCACCAGGTGGGTGCCCCGTGGACAGAAAGGAAAAGAGGCTTCCACCATCCTGGCTGGGGGGCAGGCCTGGGACTTACAGACTGGGGTGCTGTCACTGCTAAGAGGGAGCAGACAGCTCTGATCACTCCAAACACCCTCACACCCCAAAGGTGAGTTAAAGTCCTTTTCCATTCACTTGACTATTGACTGCCTCTTTGGCTACCCAACATCCCCTCCTCGTTCCTTAGGAACAGACCCTGAATTTATTCAGGGAGTCAACGTGGCCAGGTAAAGACCACATTTCCCCAGCCTCCCTTGCAGTCAGTGGTGGCCAGTGAGGTGTGAGCAGAAGTCACTGGGTGGGGCTTCTAGGAAACGTCCTTAAGGAGCTCACTCAGCTGGGGGGTGAGGGGAGGTGCTGTTTTGGCCCTTGTCACTGGCCTTCCTCCTAGCTGGACTATGGAATATGAGAGCACAGTCAGTCATCCTGGGGACAGAGGCTATACACGGAGGATGGGGAGCAGAAATACAAATGGAACTTGGGTTCCTGATGCCTTATTGGAGACGTAAGATGGTTCTGGAATACTAACCTCCAGATAGTTCTGCTTTGGTTTTTTTCATGCAGTAACATCTGCAGTGGCATTTAATCTGTGGGGAGGGTCATGGACTGTCAGTTTGGAACTACGTAAGCCCTCAAGGTACATGTTTTGTGTCCAAGCACTTTAGTGTGTTCAAGCCTTGTGTTATGAACTTGCTACGTCAGAGCAGAGAACTTGGGAGAGGTCACATTCATTCATTCAAAGTTCAGGGGGGTTTCCATTCTGACAACAGCAACACAATGGTGAACCTAAAGCTGGGCAGTGAGGAAGGAAAGAAAAAAGAAAGCGTATGATGACGGATGGTATCGTTTGAAACAAAAAGTTGCAACGTAAATCACAACGAAAAATATTACGTCATTAAAACAGAAGAGTTCACCTGCTCGAGGATGAGGCTTTGGATTTCAGGCATTTGCTACGTCTTGTAAGTCCAGGGACCTGCGCTGCCCCTGCTTTCCCAGAGTTATCAGTGCAGAGCATATGTTGTGAGGGACATAGTTGTCCCATTGCTAAGGCTGAAACCCTGGATGTTCTCAGCAGCACAACTGTGGAAACAAAGCTCGCAGCAAGCACATCTCTAGCTCCCTGGAGGTCACTCCAAAGCCTGCTGATGAGGCAGGTTTCCTGCATCCACTGTCCCTGGGCTAGCTGCTG